GATGGATGGGTGAATGAATGAATGAATGAGTGAGTGAGAAAGCACCTGCTGGGCCTGGGACCCAGGGAGTTCAGCTCAGGTGTGTCCAGAGCTGAGGGCGGGGCTGGCCCTGGGCACAATCCAGATTGGTGCCTCTCCTGCCTTGCCGAGTCTGGGTGGGGCCAGTGGTTGGGAAACATGGGGACCCAGCCCCAGAGGGCAGGGAGGAGACCCTGGCATCTGCGATGCTATCAGCGGTTCCAGAGCCAGCTGTCGCTTATTAGTCAGAGGCTCCACCTCATTCCGCACACTGGGCAGCATTTAAAACTCCTGCCTCAGTTCTGCCGGCCTCGGAGTGTGGAGCAGCTACACCACCAATAAACTTGTTATTATCATCTCCCGCAACAACATAGCAGCGGCCCTTGCTATTTCTTAAAGCAGGGGAGCCCCCTCTTTATCACTCCACCTGCCTCGTCCTCTTGTCTTGCAAGGCAGGGGCCAATCAAGTTTCAGAGTCTTCTGGAGCTGTGCAACCTCAGGGAAGTCTCAGATTTGATTTTCTCATTGCCAAAGACGAACTGGAATGCTGGACTTTGGGGTGTGTGCAAGGATTCAAAACAATCTCTGCAAAGGCGTGTGGTCAAACGATGAGAAAGTAACAGTCCTAGCGCCTTCTATCCAGAACTTTCTAGATGCAAGACCCTCTGTCAAGTGTTTTCATGCATATGATGGGTGATCCACCTGAATCTATCTTGAGGTCTGGTCAAAAAGAAATACTGATTGAGTACCTACTACATCCTGGTCCCTGAGGTTACAGTGGGGAGTAGAGATAGAGAAGACACAGCCTGTGTAATCAAAGCCAGGCTTAGCAGAAGAGCCAGACAGTTCCAGGGCAGCTGGACAAGTGTTAGGAAGTGGGACAGCAATGGGCACAAAGGAAGGCCACCTAATCCTGCCTTGAGGGAGTGGGAAGTCTGTAGGAGAAAGTGATACCCAGGCGACAGATGAAGTAGAAGTTGGCCTGGCAAGGGGTGGTGGTGAGTGGAGAGCAGTGTTCCAGGCAGTGGGAACAGCACATGCAAACTCCTGGAGGTGAGAGGTAAGAGTAAGTATGGCTCAGTCGAAGGAACTGAGTTATTCCTTCCACCAGGATTATAAAGTTGAAGGTGGAACAAATAAATGAGTAATGGAGAGAGTTTATAAGCCAAGTTTAAAAACGTGGATTTTAATTATGGGAGTCACAGATGTGTTTTATTTATTTTATTTTTAGAGTTTAAAGTGACAGATGTATCTTATTTTTTTAAAATATATTTTATTGATTTTTTACAGAGAGGAAGGGAGAGGGATAGAGAGTTAGAAACATCGATGAGAGAGAAACATCAATCAGCTGCCTCCTGCACACCTCCTACTGGGGATGTGCCTGAAATCAAGGTACATGCCCTTGACCAGAATCAAACCTGGGACCTTTCAGTCCACAGGCTGACGCTCTATCCACTGAGCCAAACCAGTTAGGGCTACTTTATTGATTTTTTACAGAGAGAAAGGGAGAGGATAGAGAGTTAGAAACATCGATGAGAGAGAAACATTGATTAGCTGCCTCTTGCACACCTCCTACTGGGGATGTGCCTGAAACCAAGGTAATGCCCTTGACTGGAATTGAACCTGGGACCCTTCAGTCCGCAGGCTGACGCTCTATCCACTGAGCCAACCAGTCAGGCTGTATTTTATTTTTAATTTATCTTAGAGAGAGGAAGGAAGGGGGAGAGAGAGAGAGAGAGAAACATTGCTGTGAGAGAGAAACATAAATGACAGATGTATTTTAAATGGAGGCTTTAAAATTTCCCGTTTGATATCCATGGCCCCATTTCCCCTTAGACAACCAGCTGCTCCTCCCCTACTGCTTATGGTCTCGATGGATGGTCCATCAAGGTCCTCCCTCTCCTCTGGCCAAGGGTGGGATGTGGCCCAGGCTACTCTCTCCAGAATTTGAATCTTGGGCTTGGACATAAGGACTGAACGTAGTTGTTTTCATTCATGCCCAAAGTTGCCCCCTGAGGAGATTGTCCATTCAAGGGTCAGAGCTGTTCTGGTTTCTGGTTATTCTTGTCTCTGCAATTCCTTTGATTACTGAGCTCCACATAATAAATGAATGAATGAATCAATTAAGTAGGTAACTATTCACTCCCCACACACCCACACCCACACACACGTAATATTTATAATGTAAGTTTACCAGAATCATTTTCTGTTGCTTGCTACCAAAGAAGCCTAGCTAATATACTAATGGTGATAGTTCTGTTGGATGCAAGTAATAGAAAGCTAGCTCAAGCAAAAAACAAAACCAAAGAGTCAAACAAAGAAACAAAAAAGAGAGAATGCATTAGAAAAATACTGCCATATTTTAGAAAATGGACAGATGAGTTGCTTGGGAGGACTGGGGCCTAGTGCAGGACTGAAGGATCCAGCAGAAGGGGAAATACTACGCTTGTGTGTTTGTTTTTATTCTCCACCTCATCTCCTCCTGGTAGCAAGATGGCTCCCATATCTTTTTTTTTTAAAAATATATTTTATTGATTTTTTTAAAAATATATTTTATTGATTTTTTACAGAGAGGAAGGGAGAGAGAGAGTTAGAAACATTGATGAGAGAGAAACATCGATCAGCTGCCTCCTGCACACTCCCCACTGGGGATGTGCCCGCAACCCAGGTACATGCCCTTGACCGGAATCGAACCTGGGACCCTTCAGTCCACAGGCCGACGCTCTATCCACTGAGCCAAACCGGTTTCGTGCGACTCAATTTTGGTAACTCCCAGGCTCTGTGTCTGCCTCAGGTTTTAAATTCCCAAAAGAGAAAATCTGATGGGCCCTGTTTGGGATAGGTGTCTGCTGCAGTGGGGTGGGATCTCATGATACAGACAAGGCAGGTGTGTATCTGTTCTAGGGTTGCCCTTGTGAACCAGGGTCTGTCCCAGAGGTGTGTGGGACCTTGTCCATTCATAGGCACAAGAGACCTTGGCATAGAAAACAAGCACGTGGGTGGGACCAAGGGCTTGGAAACCAGTTTGCCAACGCTGGGTCCTCCACTCATGACCTTTGAGCTGGCTCCACCGTGACCCAAGGAGAGCCGTGGGCTCCCAGGAATCAGGAGGACGCCTCCCTTGGGAACCTTTATAGGCTCCCAGGCCCTAGGCTCATAGATGGTGACATTGTATCAGGTGAATGAGTTCCCCCCACCCACCACTGTGCTCTGTATTCTTGAGTCATCATCCTCAAGACCAGAGTTCTGAAGAAATAACAGAGCACCCTAGTTAACAGGGCACAGCTCCTTCACTAAGATGGGACACAGACGACGGAGAAGACCTTTACAAGAAGAAGAGTTTATCAGGGAGGCAAGGGTGTAGTTGAGCGAGCTAGATGGCTGACCTCAAATTGGCGGGTCAAGAAAACCACGAGAACACGTGTTTCTGAGCTCATGTGAAATACTCACTGTGGCCCCAATCTACCTGGGGGAGACTTTTGAAGTCCTGTGTCAGACTTAGGGATTTTTGAGCCATTGAAATTCTGGTGCAAATATTCTTGTGACCTTAATTGTACTCATAGGCTAGTGCAGTGGTTGGCAAACTGCGGCCCCTTGAGTGTGACTCTTCCACAAAATACCACGTGCGGGCATGCATGTACAATGCGATTGAAACTTCGTAGCCACACTCAAGGGGCCAAAGAGCTGCATGTGGCTCGCGAGCCGCAGTTTGCCAACCACTGGGCTAGTGGGGACATTTGGATCAACAGCATGAAGAGGCAGGTGACATTGTGCATATGTCACAAATCCTATATAATAAAAACCTAATATGCTAAGTGTCTGGTTGTCCGGCCATCCAATCAATCAAAGCATAATATGCTAATGACATGCTAAGGCCGTGCAACCAGTCGCTATGACATGCACTGACCACCAGCGGGCAGATGCTCAACGCAGGAGCTGCCTCCTGGTGGTCAGTGCACTCCCACAAGGGGAGCGCCGCTCTGCCAGAAGCCAGGCTCATGGCTGCTGAGTGCAGTGGCGATGGCGGAAGCCTCTCCCACCTCCGTGGAAGCACTAAGGATGTCCGATTGCTGGCTCCCCATGGGGAGCGAGCCTAAGCCATCAGACATCCCCCAAGGGCTGAGGGACTCCCCCCCCAAGTGCACGAATTTCATGCACCAGGCCTCTAGTGTGGAGATAAAGGGCTAGGGCATTGACGTTGCTTTCTCAAGGCCCCACAATTAGTGAGGTAGCATGAATCCAATTCCATGTTACTTCGATCCTAAAGCCCATGAACTGGAAAGCTTTGGTTTCAAATGAAACACTCAATTAAAAGCAGCTTAAACAGAAAGAACAATATCTTCTTCTTATTATTTAAATAGAAATTCTGATGTAAATGGTTCTGGAATAGCTTAACTCAGCAGCTCAACATCATCAGGCCTCTTGGATCTTTTCATCTTTCTGCTCTGATATCTCTAGAGAAGTGTTTCTCAAAATATTGTCTGGGGACTCCCTTTCAGAAATTCCTTGAAGTCTAAATTATTTTCATAATAATGTGGAGATATTATTTGCTTTCTTTTTCACTTTGATGATCTCACAAGGATACAATGGAATTTTTCAGTGGCCACATGATGTATGACGGCATCATCTCTCTGATGGCCAAGGGAATGTATGCTTGTGTAGTAAGATATTTTGAAATATTCTTGGATTCAATTTCTAATATAGTCAGTCTTTTTAAAAAATATATATATTTTATTGATTTTTTACAGAGAGGAGGGGAGAGGGATAGAGAGTTAGAAACATCGATGAGAGAGAAATATCAATCAGCTGCCTCTTGCATGCCCCCTACTGGGGATGTGCCTGCAACCAAGGTACCTGCCCTTGACTGGGATCGAACCTGGGACCCTTTAGTCCACAGGCCGACGCTCTATCCGCTGAGCCAAACCGGTTAGGGCTAATATAGTCAGTCTTGATAGATGTAACTCCCATAAGCAGAAGGCCTTTGAGGTCCTCAATAATGTTTAAGAATGTAAGAGGGTCTTGAGACCAAAAAGTTTGAGAACTACTCTTCTCAAGTATCTGTTTTTGCTTTCAGCCTAGTTTCCTCATGGTTGCAAAGGAGCTGCCACATCTTAAACATCACAATAACGTCCCAAGTCCTTTTCCCTGGGCCTGATTTCAGTAAAGAGGATTTTCCCAGAAGTCCCTCATCAGAACTTCCATCATGTTTCATGGCCAGAATTATATCACACATTTATTCCTCAATAAACACCATTGGCAGGCAATGGGAGTGATCCATTCCTTGGGGCCAAATCCTGCTTCCCTGAAAGCTTGTCCTCCAGATGCTTGAACATAATTCTGGTTTATTTAGCAAGGGAGAAAGGGGGTGCACATAACTTAAGACACAGGTTCAGATGCATTTTGGTCGACAGGAAGTGGAATGCAAGCCTTTAGCTGCTTATTAAGAACTGACCTGAAAGTAGTAGATTCATTTACATTCCTATCTCATTTGCCACACCAGGTCACAAGGGCACCGTGTATTGCAAGGAAGACTGGGAAATGTAGTCTTGAGCTGCGTAGCTGTGTGCCTAGCTAAACTTGGGATACTATTCTTATAAGGCAAAGGGGGAGAATGTAGGTAGAATGTTAGTAGATAGTCTTTGCCACACCCATTGAATGAACAAATGAATCCATGGGATAATGGATGGAGTTATGGATCCACTGATGACCCATTGACTGTAAAGATGAGCTGAAAGACTTGACAAACTCTGGGTTGATTCATTGCCTGAAAGGAGATAGGTGACCAACTGGCTAATGACTGAGGGTTTTAACAGAGGGCCAGCCCTCCTCTGCCTCCCTTGTCTGACACCCCCTCCCCATGTCCTCCTCTTCTCCAGTTCAGCAATGTCACCTTCTTCATCTTTGGGCCTCTCATGATGTTCCTGATGCACCCCTATGCCCAGAAACGCTCCCGCTCCATTTACGCCCTCTGTGTCCTCTTCATGGTCATAGGTAGGTGGGGCCTGTGACAGTGGGGCCAGGGGAGTGGGGAGGAACACCTCCTTGACCACCTGCCTTTGTCTCTTGCTCCAGGCCTGTTCTCCATGTACTTCCACATGACGCTCAGCTTCCTGGGCCAACTGCTGGACGAGATCTCTATTCTGTGGTTGCTGGCTGGTGGCTACAGCATATGGATGCCCCGCTGCTACTTTCCCACCTTCCTAGGGGAAAACAGGTGGGATGGGGGCGGGCCCTCTGGTGATTCTGTTAGAGCCCACCTGGGCTCTTGTGTCCTCTCCCTGAGCCCTGTGGTGGCCCTCGAAATCCCTCCCCTGACTGCACCAGAACTTTGTCCTGACCCTGCCTGACTTAACTGGGCTCCCAAGCCGCCCCTCTAAGTGTACTTGGAACTCTTAGAATTCCTCCCCAGATAGCTTGGGACCTTCTCTAGACCCTATCTGAGCTCACCTGGGGGCGGGGGGCGTCTTAGGACCCATCCCTAAGCTTACCTGGGCCCCTGGGAACTTTCCCCTGAGTCTATCAACTGGGTTCCCTGAAATGTTATATGATCCTCCCTTTTAACCTGAGACCCCTCTGAAATTCTCTCCTGACCCTGCTTGACTCTTCTGAGCCTTCTAAGACCCCTCAGGTGATAGCTTCTGAGACCCTGCATTTCTTTCCTTAATCCCACCTGGGCCCTCCCTGAATTCCTTGCCTGACCTCACCTGGGCCCTGGCACCCTTCACTGACTCACCTGGGCCCTGAGATCCTCTGCTGAGCCCACCTGGGAGTTCCAAGACCTGTCTCTGAGCTCAGTTGGGCTCCTTGGAACCCCTCCCCTTTTCTCACCCACCTCTGCCACAAGATCTCCATGTGACCTGCCCAACCCCCTCCCAAGGACCCTTTCCAACCACCTCACAGCTGAGCCCTTCTCCCTCCAGGCCCCAGTTTATCTGCCTGGTTGTCATCGCCACCATGGTCAGTACCTTCCTGTCCTTCCTGAGGCCTACGGTGAACGCATATGCCCTCAACAGCATCGCCGTGCATATCCTCTACATCGTGTTCAAGGAGTACAAGAAGTGGGTGGTAACTGCAGGCGCCCAGGAGGGTGGCTCCCATCCCCCCTCCAAGCCACCCTCTCACCCCTCACCCATCCGCCCGCCCCCCGCCCCTCACGACCACACACACACACACACACTTACAAGGCATAAAGTTCTTTTTTTTGGTTTTTTTTTTTTGGTTAATCCTTATCCAAGGATATTTTTTCCATTAATTTTTAGACAGAGTGGAAGAGAGGGAGGGAGGGAGGGAGATGGGGAGAAAAACATCTATGTGAGAGAGACACATCAGTTGTTGCCTCCCGTACTCACCCCGAACCTGCCACCCAGATACATGTCCTTGACCAGGAATTGAACCCAGGACTCTTCGGTGTTTGAGCCGACACTCTAGCCATTGAGCAACACCAGCCAGGGCCAGGCACTGAGTTCTTGTTGATTCCATGCTCAAGATCATCCACAAAGAGGGGGCAGGGCCAGGATTTGGACCTAAGGTTGTCTGACTACAGAACTTGTCCTTTTTTCTTACGAATCCCTCAACATGTGTATAACTGGAGATGTTGCACCATAACCTCCATGTGCCCACTAACCAGCCCCAACAACCATCAACATTTTGCCAACCTGTGTTATATATTCCCCGTCAGATTTCATATCGGGGCACTCATTGACTTTTCAGGATTTCACTCTCCCAAGAAAGAATGATTACTTTTTAAAAAAATGTATTTTTATTGATTTCAGAAAGGAAGGGAGAGGAAGAGATAGAAACATCAACGATGAGAGAGAATCATCCACCAGCTACTTCCTGCACGCCCCCTCCTGGGGATTGAGCCCGCAACCCCTGCATGTGTCCTGACCAGGAGTCAAACCGTGACCTCCTGTTTCATAGGTTGACGCTTAACCACTGAGCCACATCGGCTGGGCCAGAATTCTTACTTTTTAACACCATGCTATGTCTTACTAGGACAGAGAAGGAACTCTCAAATGGGGCCATTTGAGGAGACTTGAATGAAAGGGTAATTTACAAAGGAGAGGGCAGGGTGTAGGGAAATCACTAGGAGTCATTTAAAACCCCTGTGCTAATAAGAGTGAGATTCTATGACCATCAGGAGATCTGGGGCGAGGGGTCATGGGAGGGGCTGATGGCAAGAATCTGGAAGGAGAGAGCCCGCAAGGTCTCCTTGGCCAGAGCTGTGACTTCCAGTTGCCGGCTGCAGCCAGCCTGAGCCAACTCCACAGAGAGGGAGCTCTGAAAATAAACCTAACAGGACCCTCCCTCACCCTTTGGTTTCTTGCTGGGGCTCCCTATTGGCCAACCCAACTGGAAGCCCACAGATAAGGAAACTCTGGATTTGGTCCACACAACCCGGCACTGCCCCCTCCAGCCTCCAGGTCATAGGGCAGAGTGAGGAAGGGTAGGGAAATTCTAGAGCAGGGGTCCTCAAACTACGGCCCACGGGCCACATGCAAATACAAATATTGTATTTGTTCCCATTTTGTTTTTTTACTTCAAAATAAGATATATGCAGTGTGCATAGGAATTTGTTCGTAGTTTTTTTTAAAACTATAGTCCGGCCCTCCAACGGTCTGAGGGACAGTGAACTGGCCCCCTGTTTAAAAAGTTTGAGGACCCCTGTTCTAGAGGGACAAATGGAGATATGGCACACACCCTTCTAACAAAGTTAATGAGACTTCCTTAAAATAGTATCCAGTACCCAGCTCTCATCGACGTTTGCTCAGTTTCTCAAAGATGCTTCTTACACCTGGTTTTCTTTAAGTCAGGATCCAAACCTTTGGTCTTTATTTCATATCAGTCCCCCACCTCTTCTTTTGCTCATGTCTATTAATAACACCCCTCGGTCATTTGCCTATAGAACATCCACATTCTGGATTTGACTGACTGTCTCCTATGGCATCTTTCAATGTGTTTCCTTATCTTTTGTATTTCCTGCAAATTAATAGTTAGATCTAGATCCAGGTTAACATTTTTCATTTATTGATTTTAGGGAGAGAGAGAAAAACATCGATTTGCTGTTCCACTTATTTATTCATTCATTGGTTGATTCTTTTTAAAAAAATATATTTTTTGTTGATTTTTAGAGAGAGAGGAAGGAAGAGGGAGAGAGAGAGACATCAATATGAGAGTGAAACCTCGATCGGCTGCCTCCTGCACACCCCCTACCTGGAATCGAGCCTGCAACTCAGGCCTGTGCTCTGTGCAGGGGAGACACCCGACCAATGGAGCCACACGGGTTGATTCTTGTATGTGCCCTGACCGGGATTGAACCCACAATCTCAGCCCTCGGGACGATACTCTAACCAACTGAGCTCCCACTCGGGGCTCAGGTTTACATTAAAAATATATATATATTTTTTTTATCGATTTTTTACAGAGAGGAAGGGAGAGGGATAGAGAGTTAGAAACATCGATGAGAGAGAAACATCGATCAGCTGCCTCCTGCACACTCCCTACTGGGGATGTGCCCACAACCAAGGTACATGCCCTTGACTGGAATTGAACCTGGGACCCTTGAGTCCGCAGGCTGACGCTCTATCCACTGAGCCAAACCGGTTAGGGCAGGTTTACATTTTTTAGGCCAGGATATTTCACGTGCAATGCTGGGTGCTCCTTGTTCCCTCCCATTAGGACTGCCGAATGAGTGGGTACCGCACATTTAGTGCTGTTAAGGTGGATTAGGGGATTCGAATGATGCCACCTGTATTAGAAAGTTTTCCACTGACCTGTCACCCAGTGACTTCAGCAGCCACTGATGCCCCTGCCTCCATCCGTGACCTCATTAGGGGGAGCAAAAGGGTGGTTTGCAGATTCTACTATTCCCTCTGCGTTGATTAGCTGGAGTTCTTCCATCAAAGGCTTTCACGCATCAACCTTGAAATAGAGAGTTTGAACAGAGAAGGCAGGAGAGACCATTGATCCTTTCCCATTATTTCTGAGAGTGATGATTCGGTGCCTTAGCCCTAAGTCTCTAGCAGGGCCCAACGAAGTTGGTTTTGTTTCTAAGTTTTGTTGTTATGAAATCAAGGATGTTTACATTTCTGAAGTGTTTTAACCCCATTTGGGTCACTTTGCTACATTTTTTACTTTTTATTTGGAAACAATTATGGACTCATAGTGAGTTGCAAAAACAGTACAGAGTCCTATGTACCCTTCCTCCAGCTTCCTCCAGCCCCCACCCCAACCCCCGCCGCCAGTGGCAGCATCTTATGTGACCTCAGTACAACTTCCAAAGGAGGAAATTGACAATGGGACAATACTGTTATTGAGACCACGGACTTTATTCAGATTTCACCAGTTCTTACTCATTATGCTTTTCTGTTGTTCAAACTGTCTCATTTTAGGCCAGCGGGCAGGGCCTGTGATTTTAACCACAAAGGAGTTTCTGCCTTATTAATCCCCGATACGCTCTTTGCTAAGGGACACTGGGTTAGCGCTGCCATCAGGGAAACAGATTCTCTTCCTGAGTTGTCCCAGGACATGGCCGTCAGAGAATCACCCTCCCATTCACGGACACACACATTCTCACAGCCACCCAGACAAGAATTTTCAAGCACTGACTCACAGATGCACACACACACACACCCCCACACACAAACGCACAAACACAGAAAGGCTTGTTGGTTAAGAATTCTGCAATCAGCCTGGCTGGCGTGGCTCAGTGGTTGAGTGCCAACCCATGAACCAGGAGGTCACGGTTTGATTCCTGGTCAGGGCACATGCCTGGGTTGCGGGCTCGATCCCCAGGAGAGGGTGTGCAGGAGGCAGCCAATTGATGATTCGCTCTCATCATTGATGTTTATCTCTCTCTTTTTCTTCCTCTCTCTGAAATTAATAAAAAGCATATCTTAAAAAAAGAACATTTCTGCAATCTGACAACCTTGGTTCAGACCCCAGCTCTGCCCCTAGTAACCGTGGGGTGGGGTTGGGGCATAACTTAATCTCACGGGTCTCAGTTTTCTCACCATCCTATGAAATGGGAATATTAGCATTGTTGTGAGGACTAAGTTTCTACCCAAAGGACTTGTTGACTGCACTTGACATCCTGTAAGTGCTCTGCAAACGTTAGTCATAAACACAGATGAGGCCCCTCCCCCTGGCACCCTGGATCTTTCCCTCTTCCCAGCCTCACCTCCTTGGTGGAGGAATTTCCCATCAGCCCCTACACACTCCACTCCGAGTCAGGCTCTCATCTCCCTTCCGCCCTCCCTAGGACCAGTAATAAGGAGCTTCGACATCTCATTGAGGTCTCCGTGGTTTTGTGGGCTTTTGCATTGACCAGCTGGATCAGTGACCGCTTCCTTTGCAGTTTCTGGCAGCAGATTAATTTCTCCTACATGCACAGCATCTGGTAAGCACCTACCCTGTGGTCCGGGGCCCCAGAACCAGAAAAATCTCAGATATCAGAGTGTGGGGCATCAGCCTGGGGACATAAAGTGATGGCACCAATACTGGATCTTGTGTGCTTGGGGGCGGGGGGCAACTGGTAGCAATCAGGGGGTGAGTTCCAGAAGGTTCCTTTGGATGATCAGGACCCAGGTGGGGCTGGGGACATCCAGCTTGCCCCAGGGACATTTTGCACCCTCACTACCCTCTCCCTGCTTCCCACAGGCATTTGTTCATCAGCATCACCTTCCCTTATGGCATGGTCACCATGGCCTTGGTGGACGCCAGGTATGAGATGCCAAACCAAACCCTCAAAGTCCGCTACTGGCCTCGGGACACGTGGCCCGTGGGGCTGCCCTACGTGGAAATCAGTGGTGACCACAAGAACTGCTGAAGTCTGCCGGTCTCTGGACTCCCCAACCACCAGCCAACTCACCTGTGTCTTGAGGAGAGAGGCTTAGATCGGGAGTCTGAGAGCACACACAGTTCTTCCTCCAGCTCCCTTTCCTCATCCTCCTTGTCCTGCATGACCCCACTCCAAGGCAGGGGATGGACATCAAGACTTCTCTGAGCAGCAGACTGATGACCCTGCAGGGCTGCCAGGCATAGCTCCCCTTCCTGACCTGCCCTGTTCTCTTTCATCTCCTCCTCATGCTTGTGTTCACTGCCACCCTGCTGTCACACAACCTGGAGGGACTGGATGACCAGCTGCTATGATTACATGGCTTCTACTGGGATGGCCTTGGGCCACATGCAGCTTACTCATAGTGGCAGTCACTACCAGACTCTTTGGACCTGACTTTGGTCTTGCACTGTCCTTGGTACTTAGGGGCCACCCTTAAGAATGGACATGTTTTCCGGTAACCTCATTCCACCCTCACTCATGCATGCAGAGACCTTGCAGGCCTCCACACAGGCTCACACATGGACAGTGTGGCCATCCCACTGGTTGACAGCAGAGCAACATGGACACCTGGATGGGCAATCTGGATGCTGTGGGGCACGGAGGGGATCTGGGGTGGCCAGTATAGGCTCTCAAAGCAAGGGGAGAAGGGGCATATGTATTTCTTTGTGGTTAAGAACACAGGGCGTGGAGTTGGGAGACCTAAGTTTGAATCCTGCTCCACCATTTCCTAGTTGTATCATCTGGGGGAAGTGATTTTTTCTACATCTGAAGTTCAAACCTCTTGTCTATAAAATGGAAATATTCCTTCCTTCATGAAATTTCTGTGTGGATAAAACAAGATAAGGCATGTAAAGTGCTTAGCATGGAGTCTGATAAACATCTATCCATATACTCATCCTTTAATTTATTCATCCATCCATCATCCATTGAATCATTCATTGAAACATCCATTCATCCATCCACTTATCCATTCATCCATCCCCTATTATCCTTCTATCTATTTATTTAACTATCTATCCCTCTCCTCTATTAACCCACCCATTTATATTTAGCCATCCATTTGTTTATTCATTTATCCATCCAAATCATTCAATCACCCTTCCACCCATCCATTTATCCAATTATTTATCCACTAGAGGCCCAGGGCAGGAAATTCCCGGGGGGGGGGGGTGTCCCTCAGCCTAGCCTGTCCCCTCTCATAGTCCAGGAGCTCTCAGGGGCGGGAGGTGACCCGGTGATCAGGGGAAGATGACACCCCCATCATAACTCTGTTGCTGCCACTGCTGGCAGCGCAAGCCAAAGCCGGCCCTGGTTACCTGAGCCTCGGGTGGCCCTGGGTGGCTGGGCAGCCGCCATACGAGGCTTGCCTGTGCCTAGGTTTGGCCCTGGGCAGCTGGGGGGCTGAGGGGACTGGGGGACTTTGGAGGCAGGCGTGCAGCTGAGGGGACTGGGCGCCACCATCTTGTGGCTGGGGGCGCCTCCATCTTTGAGGGTGGGACAGTCAATTAGCATATTCCCTCCTTATTGGCTGTGAGCACCACCATCTTTGCGATGGCAAGGGTCAATTAGCATATTCCCTCTTTATTAGATAGGATTATTCATCCGTCCATATTTAGACATCCATTTGTCTATTCATTTATCTATCCAAATCATCCCATCATTCTTCCAATCATCCCACCTATTCATTCATTCACTCATTTATCTCTTCAACAAATATACATTTTCTACTATATGTCTTACGCCAGTCCCTGGGGACACAAGACAACAAAGACATACAAAGTCCCTGCCCTAATGAGGAAACACATCCTATATAATAAAAGGCTAATATGCAAATCATCCAAATGGCAGAATGATAGATTGCTATGATGCGCACTGACCACCAGGGGGCATACGCACAATGCAGAAGCTGCCTTCTGGTGTCAGTGTGCAGGCACCACTCAGCCAGAAGCCAGGCTCACAGCTGGCGAGTGCAGCAGCAGTGGCGGGCAGCGGGCCTAAGCTGTCAGATGGACATCCCCCGAAGGCTCCTGGACTGTGAGAGGGCACAGGCCAGGCTGAGGGATCCCCCCCTCAAATTTTGTGCACCAGGCCTCTAGTGTTAGATAAAAAGACACACCAACAAGGCAATTCCAGGCACTGATGGATCTGCCTAAAAGATAGAGCACAGTGATGTTCTGGAGAACCAGGGGGTGGTGGAGCAGCCCTTTTAAATGGAAAGTGAGTGGTCATTGCACTTTCCAGGTGAGATCAGAATGATGAGAGGAAGCCAATCATAGTGAGATCTGGGAAAGGCCATTCTGGACAGAGGAAACTCCTGGGGTGGGGATGCACTGGAGCAACTGAAAGGAAGCTGTTGCCAGAGCTTAGTAACCAAAGGAGAGCCCAGAGTAAGAGGTTCTTAACCTGGGGACCCTGGGTGGGTTTTTGTACCCATGGACCATTTGATATTCTCTGCAAAAGATGGGTGTCAGGCATGCTAACTGGAACCTAGGAGTGCCTCACTCCAAAAGGAGTTGAGGTGAGCCCATCTAACTCATTGGCGAGATTGGGACATTAAAGACAAAGGACCACTCATATTTATTGAGTTTCTACCATGTGCTCTATGCCCATGATGCACTTCATTGATCTAATAATCCCCCCTCCCACACACCACTTCAGATAGAGAGGAATATTCTTATTTTATAGAGGTGGCTCAAAGAGGGCAAGCAACTTGCCCAGGGTCACACCTCTTGATATGATCCAGCAATTCCACTCCTAGGTATAATATACCCAACAGAATTAAAAACAGGTATTCAGACAAATGTGTGTACAGAAATGTTTATAGAAACATTATTGATAAGACCAAAGGGTGGAAAGCAACATAAATGCCCAACAATGGAAGAGTGGATAAACCAGATGTGGTGTATCATAACATGGAATCTATATATATATATAAAGAGCCAGGGTCCGTAATGTCCAAAACGACCGAAGGGATGACCGAACACCAGGCTGTGCGTGTAGCAGGCTCGGGTGGGCGGGGACTGGTGAGCGGGCTGAACTGCTGACTTCTCAGAGAGAGAGAGAGAGAGGCGGGGCTGATCAGCAGATCAGACCCTGCTTCTCTCTCTGGGCCTCGCCAGCAGACTGGGGCACCGCCTCTCTGATCAGGCCCGGAGATAGGCCCGGAGATAGGCCCGGAGACGCTGACTGGCATGGAAACTGACCAATCAGAACCAAATTTGGGTGAACTGCGAGGAGCCAATGGCTGCCTAGGAGGTGGAGCTTTTGACGCTGACTGGCACAGAAACCAACCAGTCAGAACCTAATCTGGGCGAACTTCGAAGGCAGAACCTAAGGTGGGGGCTGAGGAGCTGTTTAAGGGCAACAGCTGTTTGGTGTAAGGTGTAAGAAAGTGGTTCAATTTTTTAATGACCGGTTTGGCAGTATAGTGCATATGGCTGGCTATCAGTCCAGATATAGAGATTATGTATTTTTGTCTGCCAAGAGCATCTCCTCCTGCTGAAAAAGGCTCTCCCCAAACCCCCATTTAAGCAATCCTATCCTATATAATCTATCTATACTAATAAAAGGGTAATATGCTAATTAGACCGGGTTGACTGGCCATCTTCCGGACATCCGACTTCCTTCTGGACAAAACCATGGTGGTGGGGCCAAGGCAGAGGCAGTTAGGGGCGATCAGGACAGCAGGGGAGGGCAGTTGGGGGCAAGATCAGGCCAGCAGGGGGTTAGGGGCAATCAGGCCAGCAGGGGAGGGCAGTTGGAGGTGAGATCAGGCCTGCAGGGGAGGGCAGTTGGGGCAATCATGCCAGCAGGAAAGAGCAATTAGGGGTGAGATCATGCCAGCAGGGGAGGGCAATTGGG